AAAAAAAAAAACAGTTGAATATGCAACGAAAAACTTAGACTTGATCAGTTATTTTATTAGATAAAGGAATATTAGGCTAGTCCATGGTAGGCGAACAAACTGCGAGAAAAACAAATTGATTTGATAATAAGATATTTTTGAAGTTCTTTTATTTTATACTTTATACTACAATAATAACATTAATTATTAATTAAAGTAATAAATACCCGTACATATCTATGGTTATAGAGGAATTTAATATCGTGGTCCACTTTCTTCTGTACTTAGAATTTTTATAATTGTTAAAGTATCCATACTTTATTCGCCAAAGAATGAAAATAATAATTACATTCGGTATACATATTATTGAAATGATACATAATATTGAATTATTATGATTTAAATGCTAAACAAAGATACAGAAATGTTGTGAATTTTCATTGTTTGTCCTTTCTTTAGCTTTTTAGATTCACACTCAATCTCACAAACTATGTAACTCTAAAGAATGAAATTACGCTGCTTAACATAATCTATTTAGAATTATTGAATTCCTTTTACGTGATTACTAAATAATACTTTATAATCCAATTACATAGTTACAAAATGAATGAGCCAATCAAAAATTTAATAATCAATGTACACGAAAACATTAAAATTATGTATGCATTTAGTTCTTCAGTGATTGTTACTGCCAAATCTATCTTATTATCAATGATATAAATTATATAAGTGTATACAACTTATTAGTTAATATTGCGACTGTATTCTTTCGAGTTTGATTTGAGTATGAACTAGCATGAGTAGCAATATAAAGTCACGTTTTTTCTATCTTTTGCTGAACGTAGCTACTAGCTTTCAAAAACAGTCTATATAAATGGATATGGACTCTAAAGCAATCGCTGTTGAACTTCTCCTTGTGCAAAAACGATTTTAATGTTACGAAACCCTGCAAACGCGATCCTCATTGATTATGGCATACGTATGTACCTATTATATATTGATATTTCTGTGGCGAGAGATATTTGCGTTTTTTTAACGACACATAGTACAACATATATTATACGATAACTTTGACGACCGATTAATTAACTCGATCTGTTAATATGTGTATATTTTCGCAGAGAAAAAGGGAACATATGTTTCAGGGCAGGGATGAGGAAGAGCAGTTCTCCTCTTGAAAATTAACCTGCACGTTCGAAATCAACGATGCAGTATCAATTGCGTCAAATAACTCTCGCCGAATTTCAATTACGTCGAAATGTTTTGAGTGTATTGTTCCAATGAGAAAACAATCGCTAAGCATCAAGTAATAATTACTATTAATGTGTTACTGATCTCTTATCGATAACGACAAAAGATTATATATGTGTAATTTAACATTTAAATAGGTACGATGGTAAGTATAAGAAAGTACTGATAATCGATAGTTGCTGTGATTATTGATACTTCTGATTGACACACGCTCGATGATACATTCGTAAAAAGTATCAACTATCGCAATGACAAAAAAAAAAAAAAGAGAACATATCCACAAGATACATACTATACTGCTGTGTAGGGATGATAGTAATCCGAACAGCTTATATGTATGTTCTATCGAAAAGGGAATATCTGAAAGGCGAATGATGTAATTTGTTCGTTTGTTTTCAGCAGCATGAAATACAGTAATTCATTATCAATTATCTTTTCAAAATAACTTTCTTCTTTTACTTCAATAATTTCTTACACTTTTAATGACTTACTGATTTATACTGCAGTTGATTAGGAATATTATTCCTCTCGAATAACGTATCGTCTGACAATGAGTGTATTTATTGTATGAAGGATACACCTCTTACACATGCATACATATACACGTATATATAGATAGAACTTAATAATGTTAAATTATATAGTAACTTAATAAAATTCATTAATGATTTGGAAAATTTTCAACAGAAAACTGTCTATCATGATCGATCGATAATTGCACTTGGTTA